ATAAATAAATAAATTCTAATACCACAGGCTCTATGTGAACTACAATTCACATGTTTATATTAAAATACTCCTTATTAATTCTTATATATTTGATCTTATAGTGTAATTCTTATTTGATTTTTTTATTTTTAATTTTATAATAAAATTATTACAAATGAAATCGATAGATGGTGACATGAAACTAATACCATACAATGTGTGTGAATGTTTCTTCTAAGTTTGGCAACCTACATGTGCAATATGCTATTGCAATCAATGGTAGCCAAAAAAAAAAAAAATTTTAAAATAGTAGTTTAAAATAGAACAGCATGGTATGAGCTACTTAGGGCGAACAACGAAGTTTGGAGGAGAATTTTAATTGGAGGAGAAGTTGTAGCCAACAAGCAAAGCTGAAGAGCATTGAACAATAATTCTATATAGCTTTCAAGGATGGAAGCACCTATTTTAAGGTAATGGATTGAGTACAAGAAACAACAACAATATCCTCGAGGATGGTCCACATCAACTGCTTATATATATTTATATCTAATATTGCTAAGTATTAATAATTTCTTTGAAATCTCCCATCTAAAAAAATAATTTACTTGAAAATCAATATTTACTACTTATTTATATATTAAAAAAAGAAAAAATAAGACGCCATGACATTTCAAATATTAGGATATCTAATTACATTTATTAAATATATGAAACTTAGTGTGAAACATAATTTTATCAAATTTATCATGTAGTTATTATACATCTTAGTGTTTTAAATGCTATAATATCTTGATTTTTCATTTTATTTTTTATAAATAATAACTTGAAATGCTTTGAGATTTTTTTTTTTTTTTGATTGTTGATTAAAAAGGTGATTTATGCTTGCATTAATTTAATGTTTTTGTTCATGAAGATGATTTGAATACTGAATAAGAAGGACCACTGAAGATGATGGGTTTTGTAAAGATTGTGGACTGGAAGTCTGGATTTGGAAGGGAGTTATTTTGGGCTGTAGAGGCTCTAAGGAGTCATTGAAGAGCCCAGAAGTCTACTTTAGACGCAATGCTAGCCATAGGAATAACAGTTTCCTTTCATCTAAGTTTTTGTATATATAGTTAACATACTAAAGTAATAATTTTTTTTTAGAAGTAAAAAATATTAAATTGAAGTTACATAGTATGTAGATGGAGTGGATTAAAAAATAAAAGAAAGTTATTTCTCTCGTTATGCAATTAATATAAAATAAATAAATAAAGTTTTTGTATATGTCCAACGTAGAAGTCTTATAATAATTTAAATTCCAGATTGCAAGGCTTGTACTCGAATCTTGAGATAATTAAGGGGGATCACTAAAAATAATTATTTTTTGCAACGCCTTCTTATAATAATTTATGGTAATATATACATATATGATATCTTTTATTATAATAATTACGTTTAAAAAAATATAAAAACTAAATTTTCTTGTAGATTCCAATACTTCACTTAGGAGGACAAATGAGAAATTTTATTTGAGACAAGACAACCCTTCTTAACAAAAAAAAAAAAAAAGCGTTCGTTAGTGCTATGTTTGTTGTAATTATAAGCTTTTTTCTATGATTTGAAAGTTATATAAAATATTAATGAAAATTAATAAAAATATAATAAATAAATAATTAAAATAATAATTTTATATTTATAAATAAAATATTATATAAAAATGTATTTATAAAAAAATGGTCAAAGCAAGCTAAAGCCTACCATTGCTGAGTAGTTAATGATTCACCTCACGTGACTGTCACTGTGACTTAATTAACAAAAAGGCAGAGCGGTGTCCTAACATTTTAAGCACATTAAAGGGAATTGTCTCTTCTTTTTTCTTTTTCTTTTTTCCATTTTTTCTTTTGGCCCTCAAAGAGGACCATCCTTCATGGTGCCCAAATTCAATTAAGTTATAAAGTAATGTATTAAATAAATAAATAAATAAAAAGGAGCCTGCGTTGAAAGTCTACGTCAAGGAAAGTAAAGCTGATTGTTCCCCTTTTGGTTAATTAATACTTTAATCACCTTCTATGTA